AACAAGAAATTTTTTTTTTTTTTTTTTTTTTTTTAATGAAAAAGGAAGAAATGTTTAAAGGCCTTGCTTGGGAGGTTTAGAGCTATTGCTCAGTCTCCTTATGCCAGCTGGTTTTGGTGCTTACCTTGATCACAGCTTCTCTGGTACAGTGAGCCTCCATCAACTCCAGGGCCAGGCAGTCACCTCCCCGGGAACAAAGTTTGCATCTGAGAGTTTGCTTGGTTACCAGGAAAGCCAGTGGGCTGACGTCTCAGTTGTCTGCATGTCTGGGCCTCGTGTGTTCCTCATCTATAGCCTATGGAGCATGTGACTGGCTGGGAAACTGCCCCAGCCTCTTGCAGAATTTTGCTGGGAGCAATGACTGTACATGTCTAACACCAAGCCTGGACTGATGTGGTGGTGGGAACATTCTTTCCATCAAAATCGGGGTTGTGATGTCTCTGTTGGCTTCAGAAAATTGATTTCCATTTCCTGCTTCCTAAGTTGAGGTTTCTTTCATTGTTAATTTTCTCAGAGTGTCTCGTTTGCATGGGGACCCTTTACACACAGACGAGCAAGTGGACAGGATACAGAACTCTGTTTCCCACCAGCCCACCTCTGTTTTCTGACTCTCCATGTTTTTGTGATCCATGTGCCAAAGGAAAGCTATGGGGAGCTTGTGATAGCAGGTCATTGCTTGAATTTAAGCCTCAGAGTACCTTCCTGCAACTGAGAGCTTCGCGTTTGATGGGAGACTACCTGGACCTCTCTCCCCTGTCAGGTCACATTCTCACCGCATGCTCTACCACAGTTATAATTAACTGAGCAGAAATTAATTGGTTTGTGTTTCCTTTAGTCCGGTGCTATCCATTAAAACTTTCTACGATGATAGGAATATTCTCTTCTTCTCTGACTGTCTTCCAACATTGTGGGTAAATTAAGAAGTGCATATGTTCTTAGGTATACAGTGTGATATGTTGATATACATATGCATTATGAAATGATTACCACAATCAAGCTAATCAGCATGCCCATTAACTTACATCTTTTCCTCACTAAGGAAGTAGGTAGGAGCGTTCTTCATCTGTGCTGTCCTTTGTGGGAACCACTGGACACATGTAATCCTGAGCACCTGACATGTACTTACTGCAACAGAAAACCACAGAGTTCTTAAATTCATGTTGGTTACTTTTCATTCGTTTAAATTCAAGCATGTGTGGTGAGAAACTACCTACTACATTGGACAGGGCAGCTGTAGTCTAAGGGTCTTATGGATGGAGGTGCTGGTCTGAATCGTCTGTCCTTGTACCCAGGTTGATCCTAATCTGGTATAGATCAGTTAGGACAACTAATTGGTAAACCGCTGTCCCAAGCCCCCAAGTTTCCTCTATCTCCCACTTTTCCATATGCCTTTCCCCTTGATCCAGAACAAAAGGGTTAATGGTCCCCCAGGACCCTGCTCCAAGGCCACAATGTCCATTCTATGGATGCCTATCGTACTCTGGTTCCTCAGTAGAACGTCACCTCTGAGTATATACACAGCATCCACTGGCCATAGCAGACCATCAGTACTTGCTGGCTGTAGTGATGACTAAGCAGATGGAGGGACAAATGGATGGTTACTCCATCTCATCTTCCAGTGGAGTATGGTGTAAGTCAGAGAAATGTAACTGACATTAGACAAAAGACCAGTATGGGAATTTGTGACGGCTGGGTTTTGTGCTCTCAGTATTCTTCTTTAAACAGGCTCTAAATCTGTCACTGAGTTCTAGGGCCACACCTAACTCAGATCGCTACACTTCTTCACTCGCTTCTGTGTCACTACCATATGCCTATCGTTTGAAATCAGACTGAACCCCATGCAAACACCCCTGGACACCACTCTCTTCCCAGGTACCTCGTTCCTAAGTACCAGTCATCAACACTGTCTCATTCTTCATCCACCACCAAGAGATGAGTGAGTTTTTGATTGGACCTTCTGAGAGTCTTCTTTCTCTGCCCTCTGTAGGCAAAGAAATCTGTCTTGCTCACCTGTCTCTGAAATCTTCCCAGGTAATCCTCATGCCTCCAACCACCATTCCCTCTAACACATCCATCAGATTGAATGACTAATATCCTTCAAACATGAATATCATGTAGTAGTTGTTCAACAGGCTAGTCCTTATCTAACACTATGTCTTCTCTCCATGAATCCCTAAACACCTCCATTTTAACTAGGCAGCTTGATCTCTTGACATCTAAGCATATTGATTTCCCAACTCCAAGCTCTTTCTAAGCTAGGTCTCAATAGCTGAGATGACTTTCCCTGTTGTTCTAGTCTCCACTTCTGTGAAGATCTCTGTTAAGTTCTCCTAATAATGAAATTTCTCTGTGTACTTCTATTCCTTGATGAGTCCCAGTAGGATAAAGAAAATGCAGCTATAGCACCTGGATCCTCCATGGCCGACTGCACATTTTGAGTCTTGACCTGGTGGCTTGAAAAACATTCTAGGCCCATGTGTGTGCATGTCCCAAATCCTAAAAGGAGAATGGAGGAGAAGGGATGTAGCACTGCAACTCCCCACAGGGAGTGCTTTCTCACTTCTCTCTCTCTCTCTCTTTCTCTGGTGAGTGCACGTGCCCTATAGCAAATTTTTAAAAAAATCATCAGATTGGCTGGAAGTGGAAAAAGTATGGAGGTCCTGCATAGGGTGGGTTTCACTATGGTGAGGAGAAAGCAGATTATCTGTGCAGCATCAGAGTCCCAGGGTCTTGGGCATGTAAGACAGTGCCCCACCCGATGGCATCCATGACCTTCTCCTTTGTTTTGATGTGATCCCCACTGACTACCCCCAGACGTTCTTGTTGGCACGTTTCTGATGTGTATCTCTCGTTTCTCTGAGGCCGCTGTGGGGCAGCACAGCCAGGTTCTTCCCTCCCTGCTGCCTAGGGAGTAGGAACTCAGGGGATCCTGTCTGAAGGAGTGAACGTATAAGAATGGACAATGAGAGAGAGAGTAGGCAGGGAAGTGAAAGAAGGAACATGTTTCCTCTGCTGCTTTATTTTTAGGACAGAGGAGGGT